GGGCGCTTTGCCATCAGCACGTTCATTGCGCCCTGCACTTCCCGTTGGCTTGAGAGGAACTGCGATTTAAACTCCCAATCAAAACAAGCCAGTCTTCTGCAACAGTTTCCGCTCAGGCTCTTTGGGGTCTGTCATAGTACCCCTCCTGGTTCCCCACTTACCAGACTGTTCTTTGGCCCCTAATCTCCTCGGTTTGCCAATTACGGGGTAGGGATGGTTCAACGTCTGCCTTCTCCAAAAAAAGTCAACCTCGGATTCGCCCAAAGGACTGTACCAATCAGAAGCGCGCTTTTAGTACGGAAACGATCTATGTTGGGTTTTTCTGACGAGTAGGGTCTCCCACATAATAAGTCAGCACTATGACTCAAAACTTCGGCGCTTCCAATGGCAGGCGTCGAGGTCCATGAGCACGGCGCGGGGCACATAGCGCCCACCAGTCGCCTCGTTGAAGTAGACGTTGATCCTTACGCGAAACGCGAAAAGGGGCGCGTTTCAAGGCTCCGGGGAGGGCTGGAGGAATTATGAGCAGCTACATGTGTGTGTAGACGTGTATGTAGAAGCAGGCATGTATATATATATATATATGCTCAGCCCCCCCCCATGATCCAGGTTTTCAGTTTGGCAGGTATGGATCATGGGTAGGGGGGCCCCCAGCCTGGTTCACGGAGCTTTTCTCTGGCAGAAAGTATTTGGAGGAGAAACGCCACAGACTCTCTGGCATCGATGGGGGGCACAAGCAAGAGACAAAGGATGAGCCCAAAGACGAGCCCGAATGATCCCAAGCAAGAGCCCAAGGATGATCCCAGGCCAGAGCTCAAGGAAGAGCGCAAGGAGGATGTCAAGAAGGTTCACATCAACAAGATTGCCAAACGCCCACTGCGCATCAACTTGTCTGACTCATCTGAGGCACCAGACCACATCAAGGAAGCGGCTGCTCCCTCTATTCCTGCCCAGCACACGGGCATGATCTGAACAAGGGCGGACCCGATGGACGACTTGCCGGCCTCTGCGGATCTGGAGCTGGGCTGGAGCAGGATGGCAACGCCGATGTGTCCCTCTCCCAAGAGCTTGCAGTCCTCATGGATCAGAAGCCTGACCAGGAGCTTGACAACTGAGATGGTGTATGACTGAGGCAAAGGCTTGACCATGACTTTGGATAGTCAGTTTTTGGTTTCAAAGGATATAAGTCAGCAAAAGTCTGGCCAGCAAAAGGGCCAAGAAGGAAAAAGACAAGTTGTCGTGTTGTCTTCCATTTTGCACTTTGTCAATTGCACATGTCAATTGCACATGTTTGTGTTGCGCAGTGCGTGAGCCGTGTGTGTTGCAGCGCTTTGCATCAACGAGAGCTGCCCTGCAGCTGATCTCTGTTTCTTAGCCAGGCATGCCAAAAATGGTTATGAAAGCTATGAAGGTGAAGAGCGAGAAGCCGCCATTCCAAATGCAGGCAGGCCTAAAAGGAGTGTCCGGAGCGCGCAGCTTCTTTTGCTCGAGCTGACTATACATCAAATAAGCGGCTAGACATGCTGTGTCTCCACACGGTCGTGGGTCTACAGACTCGAGTACACGCTAGACGTCATGCTTAGAAGCCGGGTCCTCATCATTGTGGCGCCGAAGGTATCTGACGTCACCACAGCGGACATACTGCAACATTTTCCAGCCCTCCCAGAGCGTGAAACAGAAGTCCGCATCATCCTCCTCGTGCAATGCCCGAGAAGCGGGCTCCAGCACGGGGCACTCTGCCGCCCAATCTCTAACACACTTCAGGAAATTCTTCCTGACTCGGATGGATTTGGCCGAGAAGTGACTCAGCGCGGACATGTTGCTGGCCTCCGCCTGAAATCTCCGACCCCCAGGCTCGTGCAGCAACAGGTTCAAACAATACCGCGCCCCCGTGCTCGTGAACGAGCCTCTACACCTAGCTTAGCTTAGCTCTATGCACCTAGCTCTACGCACTTGGCTCTATGCCCCTGGCTCGATGCACTTCGCTCTTTGCACTTGGCTTTGTGCACTTAGCTCTGTGCACTTGGCTCCCTGCACTTCGCGCTTTGCACTTCGCTCTGAGCACTTGGCTCTATGCGCTTGGCTCTTTGCACTTGGCTCTGCGCAAGTAACTCTATGCTGGTGACTCCATGCTGGTGACCCTGCGCAAGTATCTCCATGCTGATGACTCTGCGCAAGTACCTCCACGCTGGTATCTCCATGCTGGTGACTCTGTGCAAGTATCTCCATGCTGGTAACTCTGTGCAAGCTACTCTGTGCTAGTAACTCTGCGCGAGTATCTCCATGCTGGTATCATGCTGGTGACTCTGTGCAAGCTACTCTGCGCAAGTTGACCACGAGCTCCTGATATCTCCATGCTGGTGACTCTGTGCAAGCTACTCTGCGCAAGTTGACCAAGAGCTCCGCACGCAAGAACCCTTCGCAATGCTTTCGGGAAAAGAACCAAAAAAAGCAATCCCCTAAAGGCTCAAAGTGCTGCAAGGGTACCTAAAAAACATAAACAAAAAACCAATCTCCAGACGTCTTCAGCCTATCCAAAGTTGTTTTTAGGTTTTTGAGGGGTGTTTAGGGGATTGTTTTTTGTTTTTTAGGTACCCTTACAGCACTTCAGGCACCGAAAGCTTCTAAAGTGCTGAGAGGGTGCCTAAAAAACCAATCCATTCCCAGGCTAAAGGACAAAGTGCTGTAAGGGTACCTAAACAACCTAAAAAAACTAATCCATTTTAAGCTTTGGATAGGCTGAGGACCTCTGGAGATTGTTTTTTAGGTTTTTTAGGTACCCTTACAGCACTTTGGGCCTTTAGGGGATTGTTTTTTTTGGTTGTTTAGGTACCCTTACAGCACTTTGGAGGGCTTGGGCGCCTAAAGTCTTGTGTGGGCAATGAAAACAAAGCGTACAATGCTGCATTTGCTTCACACGCAAGTTCTCAACTCCCGTGTCGAATGGTTTGTCCACCGCCTTCCCAACACTAAAACATCTGTTCAAGGGCGACACCTGTATGTCTTGAGCAATGCAAGGTTGTCTGCTAATCAATGCAAGGCTGCCTGGTCACACAACCTAAGATCCCAAACGAAATCTGTTTTGCATGGTGCTTCCTGAAAAGGTGCAAAACACTGCTATTTACAGTGCTGTGTACATATACAATATTGAACCTGGATCATGGGGGGGGGGCTGCCCAAATATATATATATATATATATATACACTTAAATATGCATAATATAAAATAATGCAATATAATTTATACAATATATAATATATATATAACATAGTATAATGCTAGCGTAACAAGATGTAATGTGGTACAGTATAAGAGTATACATATATAGCATGCAATGCATTTGTGGAAGTGATGTTTGCTTTGTATGTCAAATTCGTAGCAAGTATACAGGCTTGCATTGCCACTGAAGGTGGGAAGCAGCAGGGCCAAGTGGCTTGCAATGGCTGAGCTTGCCAACCGCTTCTGTTGGCAAAGTGAGCTTCTTGTGAGGAAAACCAATGCACAAAAAACTGGTGGATCCCATGACCACTCGTTTGACGACTCCCGTCAAACATCCCAGGAAGCCTATTTCAAAGACATCGTTGGCACGCAGGCCCGTCTATTGAACAGGTTCAAAGAACATCAGTTCAACTATCAGTCGACATACCATGTTTGCCCTTCGATCCTTCTGAAAAGGAAAAATTAAGAACCCCTGCTCAATGCCCAGGCGAGAGTCCGCTCCAACTGCAAGTCGGAATCGCCGTGATAGGTGCCTGCGGCCGGTGCAATGAGACAAGCACACCAAGGGCATGTTGAATCAGGGCGCGCCATCTGGTCGGCTTCCGTTTGTTGAAGGACCACCCCGAGCAATCCCAAACTTGGCATGGCGAAGCCTCCGGTTCGGCAGGAACCAGTTTGCCCAAGTGGTGACGACTTAATGACTTTGCCTCGACAAGAAACAACTAATCCCCAAGTCCGAGCTGATGTTTGGCTCGGAACCCAGAGTGGCTGCAGACGTTGACATAGGCCTTGCCACAATCCTCATGAAAATGGGTCGCAGAACCCCTACATACTCAAATGACTAGCTTTGGCTGCATTTTGGATCCCCTCTCAGATGTGGAAGCATGCCTGTAGGGTCAATGCCGTGCTCGTCCGCAATCACCTCCCAGAACTTTGCGCCAATCTGGTTGCCGCACCTGCAGTGCTTGACGCCCAAGCAATTAATCACTCGGGTTGTGCCAAAACCAGCTGGACCCTAGAAAAAAGAAATCGAGTCACGCTGGCTTCGACACACGTAGCAATGCCGATAACATCTTGATTTGCATGTACTTTGAAGACGGGGCCTCCCTTCGTCCAGAGATTAAATAGGATGTACAACCACTATGTAGCCAATATATGAAGGGTCTGTAGGTGTTGGGGTAGTGGAAACCATCCAAGATCCAGGCTGCTTGGTGGAATGCAACAGTTTGTCTCGTGCGCAGTGAGGAATCCGAGACAATGAGTGCACACATAGCAGCAGAGGCACTGTCCACCCTGCACGTGCACGAGCTCACGCATCTTGTCGCAAAAAGTGGGCGAGCAATGAAAGGAGCAACAAAGGCTTGAGCCACAGCTTGCACGCCCGAAGATCATGTTAACAATACAGCACGCAAGTTTGCTCGCCCCACGAAACATGAACGAAGCGCATCAGGGTCATTGAAAATAGCTCCAATCTTGGTGAACCAAGCATTTCTTTGCCCATCAGCTGCCAACTGGGCATTCTTCACTGAAGGTACCCTTTGCAGGTAAAACCGCACAAAACTAAAGGAACACCCCCCATTCAAGGGTCCGTCAGTTAGAGAAAAGCCAGCATCCTTGCTTTCCCGCCAAATGCTTCGTTGTTCCTGCAGTTCAGTTGCCTGGCGTTCACCTTCAAGGCGTGTTTCTTGAAAGTGCACCGGACTGCTCAGTGGGACACCGTGATCAACACGGGCCCATCAGAACAAAATCCAAGGTCCAAGGCGGTCGAAACACTGTGGCTCTAGCCATCGTATTCGCCCTCCTCTTCATCGAATTCACCTTCCTCCTCGGCCGTGGCATCTTGGTACTGCTGGTACTCAGAAACCAGGTCGTTCATGTTGGACTCGGCCTCTGTGAATTCCATCTCATCCATGCCCTCGCCGGTGTACCAGTGCAGGAATGCCTTGCGGCGGAACATAGCGGTGAAGTACTCCGCAACCCTCTTGAACATCTCCTGGATGGCGGTGGAATTCCCGGCAAAGGAGACCGCCATCTTCAAGCCCTTCGGCGGGATGTCGCAGACCGATGCCTTGATGTTGTTCGGGATCCACTCCACAAAGTAGGACGAGTTCCTTGCGGCGACATGCAAGCGCTCCATGCCGCGTTAGACATGTTTCATGATGCCGTCACAAGCAGTGTTGAACATATTCTATGACCAATCTGTGAAGCAGGCCACACAACTACCATCTGATCACTGCTCGCCAAGACGCTTGTTCTGCACGTTAAGCATCTGCTCATCTACTTCCTTTGTGGACATGCGTCCCCGGAACAGCGCCGCGGCCGTCAAGTAGCGCCCGTGACGAGGATCTGCCGCGCACATCATGTTCTTGGCATCAAACATCTGCTGAGTCAGCTCAGGCACCGTCAGAGCACGGTACTGCTGCGACCCGCGGGAGGTCAGCGGTGCGAAGCCGGTCATGAAGAAGTGCAGCCGCGGGAACGGCACCAAGTTCACGGCAATCTTGCGCAGGTCGCAGTTCAGCTGTCCGGGGAAGCGCAAACAACAAGTCACCCCGGACATGGCTGCTGAGACCAAGTGGTTGAGGTCGCCGTAAGTTGGCGTTGTCAGCTTCAGCGTGCGGAAGCAAATGTCGTACAAGGCCTTCCAGGAATTTCCAGGATGAAATTGGCAAACATTCATGGCAAACGAGCAAAAAAAACAGCAAATGCCAAGCCCATGTGGAAATGCCCGCTGGCTCTTTCGAGAACCTGCCTCGTTGTCCAGCAGGAAGGACTCATCCGAATTCTCCACGAGCTGATGGAAGCTGAGCACGGCATTGTAGGGCTCCACAACAGTGTCGGACACTTTGGGCGAGGGAATCACAGAGAACGTCTCCATGATTCCTTAGCCGTCTATCTACATCTAACGCTGCAGCTTTGACAAGTCAAGAAGTCAAGATTATAAGGGTTACATTATAAAAGTACTAAGAAAAAGAAAGCGGCTGTCTGGATACTCCTCAGGGCTGGACGCACGGCATGTCCATGTGATAAACCACGACAGCTGACACAACATGATTGGAGGTAGGCCCTATTGTGTAAAACGCACACCTCCAAATGGTTGCTTCACTTTCGGATATCAACATGTCGTTTGCAGTGTCCGGGCCGGTCCTCAACTCAGCCATTGATCCCGGCAGAAGGTTTGAATCAAGATTGGCAACAGTCCCGAAATCAAAGAGCGCCAACCTCTCTTTTCTTCGGCCTTGCCCTCGTTGGTGGTTTGGATTGGTTTGGGATTCCACCGCTCCTCACGCACCTTGGAGATGAGCAAGGTGCCCATGCCCGCGCCCGTGCCTCCACCGAGGGAATGGCACAGCTGGAAGCCCTGCAGGCAGTCGCAGCCCTCGGCCTCCTTTCCTCGGCATCTCAGGCGTACGAGCTACCCCCGAATTCCCTCCGAATTATTGCTAAAAATGGGCTGCAGGATAGGATGGTTATTAGGCTTTCCGGGCCTGCCTACGGTTGTGGCCCTTTGGAAAACCGAAAACTGGGTGGGTCCTTCAAAACATTCAACTGTTTGATGGTCAGCGGGGAATCTTCTGCAATTGTCCAACCGGAAAAAGGGATGCGCCGGTCAAAAGAGCAGCCTACTTTCCAAGTGGGCAGCCTGCCTTTGTAGAGCAAAACCTTCCCTCCCCGAACACAAAACAGCTGAAGGAAAGGCCTACAAAATGTTTGGGCAAACCGCTCACCCTGTCCCCCTGAACAGCCAGAGCAGCGAACCACGTCGAGCACTGAGTCGATGAGCTCGGCCCCTTCTGTGTAGTGGCCCTGATTCCAGCGAGACAATCGTATTTTGCTTTGCACTATTGGCTAGATATTAGTGGGGGCGGAACAAACATGTCCAAACCAGCTAAATGGACCGAGCTCCAACCAAACGGCAACCGAACAAGTCACCAGCCTTCGCCCAGTTGTTGCCGGCACCGGTCTGTCCGAAGACAAAGTTGTCCGGCCGGAAGAGCTGGCCAAAGGGCCCTGCACGGACGCTGTCCATGGTCCCTGGCTCCTTGGTATCAAGGGAAACGGCAAAGTGCTCTTGGGTACGTGCCCTAAGCATAAACCCCTACACACCCAATGCCTACCATATATACCCTGAACCAGTCTGGGTGTCTGGGGGGACTTATGCCGAACATGTCCCTAGAGCCCAGAGTCCATGCTGGGAGAGAAGAGGCTTAGGATGGCTCAGCCCTGTGAATGATAGGGACTTATGTCCCCGTCAGTTGTGGCGGGCGTCCAGGTCCATCAGCACGGCACGCGGCACATAGCGGCCACCAGTTGCCTCGTTGAAGTAGACGTTGATCCTTGCGAGACGCAAGGGGCACAAGTAGCTCAGGATAGCTCAGGGCAAGGGGAGGTCTGAAGGAAAGAATCCACGAAATCAAATGTGTGCGTGTGTATGCACGTACACGTCTATCCCCGTATACATTTGCACGTATCCATCTTGTACGCATTTGTGTATACATGACATGCACATCAGTAAGCGATGTTGGCTTTGCGTGACGTATCTAGTTCCGGTAGAGCCGGCGAAGCCAGTTGGCCGAAGAGCAACTTATTCTTGTTGAGCTTTACTGTATTTCGATCACGCGCGACTGCACTAGACTACTTCTCTAGCCAAACACCGCAGAAAGCAATCCCTTGTGCAACTTGCTCGTGCAACTTCATTTGCAAAACTCTCGTGTACCTGGCTGGTGTACATTGCTCTAGCAACCTCTGATGTAACTTGCTCGTGTAACTTTCTCAAGCAATCTATCATGTAACTTGCTAGTGCAACTTGGCTTGCGCAATCGGCACCATGATTTTCCTGTAAAACCCTGGGTGGTCTTTGGCTTTTTGGTTTCTAAGGACACCTGCTGGACGCCACTGGACGGCCATTCCACACGGACTTTGCTAACTGCATGCGAGGATCCGCTCCAACTGCAAGTCGGAATCGCCGTGGTAGGTGCCTGCGCCCGTGACTGAGGTTGCGAGGAGAACCATTGGGGGTGTGCTAAAGCAAGGGACCCCTGAAGCTGGCTAACGTCCCCCAAGACGCGATCCCGAATGTGGCAGAGTAGAAAACTCAGCTCGTTCGGCATCTGGGTTTCTCATGAGACTGCCTTGTCGGATACACCAAAGTTCTGTTGACTTGATGGCTTCCCTGCGACCAAGCTGACTTTTGGCTCCAAACCACGGTGAAATCAAAGGTTCACACAGGCCGTGCCATAATCCCACTAAACTCGGTAGCGGAACCCGACTAAGATGACCATCTTCGGCTATGTTTTGTTCCACTGTACCCTCCCACTGCTCGATGTGGTCATATCTTTGCCTGTCGGGTCAATGCCGTGTTCGTCCGCAATCACCTCCCAGAACTTTGCGCCGATCTGGTTGCCGCACCTGCAGTGCCGGACCCCCTTGGCGCTGGTTTTCTAAAGGAAACCGAAAAGAAAAAGACTACTGGCTGGATTCAGCTGGATTTGACACGAATAGCCAGGTTTGTAGTCTGTACCTCCAAGAGCAAAATTGTCCCCTAGCAATCCCTTTTACTAAATGGCATGCTGCTTGGTGGAAGCATGCAACTGATTGTCTCGTGAAAAGCACGGGTAAACCAACATTGAATGCTCCAATAAGAGCAAAGGCGCTGTCCACCCTGCACGTGCACGAGCTCACGCATCTTATGTAGCGAAAAGCTGGCGGGCAATGAATGAGCAAGAAAGGCTTGAGCCACGGCTTGCACACACCCAGAGAATCTGTAGAAAAAAACCGAGATACATCAAGCTTCTTTAAGCTAACATTGATGGTTCTAGGTGCAAGTAAATATTTCTCCCCCCCCCCCCCGCCCCTCCATGCCCATCGGTTGCCCAACTGGATGGGATGGCATGGCACTGCATCTCTTGTGGGTAATCTTTTTGGGTTCTGTTTCAAAAAACCAGCAACAAGAAAACCCGCCATCTTGGGAGGACCTCATTTGAAGACAAACTGGCTCCTTCGTGCTAGCTCGCCTTCCCAAATGTCGGACGGCGCTTGCAGTGCACGCAGGAGCAGATCCGGCAGATAGTCAACACCTCCTTGCTCACTGACTGTGAGGTCCGGAGCCGGAGACTGCGCGGCGCCAAAGCGGAGCACGGACCTCCCACGCTGCCACCAAAGCCAAGACAATCAATCAGGGCGCGGCCCACTCCTTTGCCGAAGTTGCGCGGTTCAACAAAACATCGGCGCCAGCCCATGCGAAGACAGCCCCCGGATGACATGAAGCTCTGTGAAAGAGCCTGCCTTTTTAGGGCCATTGGCGGAGGGCTGGAAGCGGACTTGCAGTAAGGACACTGACCACCATTGATGCGGGCGGAGGTTGTCGCTCACCCCTGGGCTGAGCATGTGATGGCGTTGTAGAGTATGTTTCACACTTCTTCTCTGCGCCATCAAAGTGCAAGCGCATGCCCAACAACCTGCAAGCGCCTCCGGCCCAGCATTGAGGCAAGCATACTCTTCCTTACCAGCATCCTCCATTTGTCCGCTCAATGCGTCCAGCTCACGAAGCAGAAGGGCGGCGTCCTGCATGTCTTCCACCGTTCTGGTGGAGAGGGTACGGTCATCAACGTGAAGAGCTGCGAGCGGGCAGGCAACCCGCAGAGCGGCGGCATGCGCCCCGGACGCCCTACTGATGGGGTTGGAATGGTCTCTCCTGGTGTACAAGGCTGACTACCGGGACACCTTGCCGGAGCAGAACCGCAAGAGGAAACCGTCCGAGCATTCATTCAGGACGGGATCCGCGGGGGTCAATGAGTGGTAGGCGTATAAAGCCGCCTTGGGGAAGACCTCTTTGCGACGTCTGCCAAGGACGAACAGCGCAACCTGCCCCGCCACCGAAGGCCGAAGGTGGCTGAAAGTGAACAAGGCCGTGGCGTGAGAGGGCCATGCCATTCGAAAAGTTGCTCTGTCCGCTTGGCACGGAGATTAATCAACTGACAGCAACGTGTCCGTGGCGTCGGTGGCCTGACACCACCCGCGTCACCACAGCTGATGGGTCAGCTGCCCCAGGCCGCTTTAGGATCATGGTGACTTCTTGGAGCTGAAAGGCATCCGGACACCTGTTTCCAAGATGACGCGCGCAAGGCCCAGCAAAAGGAGCAAGGTGGCTTTGCGGAAGCTCCTGCGCAGAGAAAGGCGCATCCACATCATCACCCGCGCGGACAACATCTGGAATCCCAAAGCAGCATGGGTTTTGCAGCTCCACTGAGCTTGAGCATGCGCCTGCAGCGCTTCAGGCGCAGCCCTTAGCCGGCCTTCATCAGTGTGGATGGCAGACAACTCCGGCCGGGCTTTTCCAACCATGAGGTTGGGGGAGTGGGAACGAATCAGACACAAAGTCGAAGCCAGAAGATGCGCACGAATCATCCAGCAGCATCGTCTTGGTGATGGGGGTTTGCTTGGAAGGCTGTTGGGGCTCATGGGTGAAGGCGTTGCGGTGGAAGAGTACGGCCGCACCAAGGAGCAGGGCAAAAGCGTGCAGAAGATGGGTGTGCGCCTGCAGGTTGAGGGCAAGCAGCGGAAACTGAGAAGAAGTCCGGGCAAGGGGCAAGGGTGAGAAGAAGTCTGAGGCGAAGCATGTCGTGATGGTGGGTGAGGACCAGGCAGATTGCGAAGACCCTCCTAGGCATATGGGGTGACGCTTGTGGGAAGGAGGGCGCTGACAGGTGCGGCGGGGAGATCAACGCAAGACCCCCTTCAAGACAGCTGAACGCCGACTGCCGGCATCACAGTGCCGCGCAAGACGGCGGTTCTCGCTTGCAAAATCTTTGAGAAGTGGTGCATTGGAATCCGAGGACGCAAGGGGTTGGCCTCGAAAGGGCCGGGCCGGCTGGCACCTGTTTGGCCTGGTGCGTGGTGGAGGGGGTGCTGAAGGCGAACTTCAAGGATGTCAAACTGAAGAGAGAAATTCCTCTTCCGAGGGGCAGCGGCGGACGATGTGGATCTGGCGCCCATGAGGGCAGATGAGCATGGTCAAATCGCGCCCTGGGCGAAGTGGGCGCCCCCAACACATCCAAGGTTGGAAGATCCGCAGAAATATGACGGGCGCAGCGCGTGAGCAGCATCCCATTCAAAAGGCCCAGGGTCGCTTTGACCACCTGAAAGAGCTGGTCGCGGCTCAAGCGCAAACTGCACGGGACAGAGAGCGAAGCCTCTTCCCATCGCGCTTTAGCCTTGAGGGAAACTTCAAGGGTTGAATCCTCAAAATGCTAACGGACGCCGACGAGGCCAAGGAACTCGGTGTTGACATGGGGAAAAGGGGTTCAAGAGTCGTCAAGCGCTCCGTGGGCGCAAATTCCTCTTTGGCCGGGTCTTCCCTTTGTCCACTTAGGTTGTCCAGCTCTTGAAGAAGACGGATTGCATGCTGCATTTCGCCGGGCGTGAGTGTGGACAGGGTCTTGTCGTCCACGTAAGTGAAGAATGCCGCCCCAGGCACTTGCGCGCGAAGAACCCGAGCAGGTGCTCCAGCCACAAAGACGCGGCCATGGGGGAGATTGGGTACAGAGGCTTGAGCCACAGCTTGCACACGCCCTCATTTTTCAAACAGAACCCAAAAAGGGTACCAGCAAAAGATAGTTTGCAATGCCCAGTTGGGCAACCGATGGGCACGGAGGGGGGGGAATGCTTACTTGCTATTAGAAGCATCAATGCTAGATTTAAGAAGCTTATGTCACTTGTGTCATTTATTATGCAACAAGAAAACCCTCCATCTTGGGAGGTCCTCGGTGACAAACCAGCATCAACCTATCTCGCCTTCCCACCATCCAAATGTTTTTTGATCCCCTGGAGTTCAGTTGCCCGGCGTTCACCTTCAAGGCGTGCTTCTTGAAAGTGCACCAAACTGCTCAGTGGGACACCGTGATGCTTTCAACACGAGCCTATCTGAGCAAAATCCAAGGCGGTGAAAGCACTGTGGCTCTAGCCATCGTACTCACCCTCCTCTTCATCAAACTCACCTTCCTCCTCCGCCGTGGCATCCTGGTACTGCTGGTACTCAGAGACCAGGTCGTTCATGTTGGACTCGGCCTCTGTGAATTCCATCTCGTCCATTCCCTCGCCGGTGTACCAGTGCAGGAATGCTTTGCGGCGGAACATAGCGGTGAAGTACTCCGCAACCCTCTTGAACATCTCCTGGATGGCGGTGGAATTCCCGGCAAAGGAGACCGCCATCTTCAAGCCCTTCGGCGGGATGTCGCAGACCGATGCCTTGATGTTGTTCGGGATCCACTCCACAAAGTAGGACGAGTTCCTTGCCGCGACACGCAAGCGCTCCATGCCGCTTCGTGATGCCATCAGAAGCAGTGTTGAACATATTATATGACCACTGTAAAGCAAACCGCAACCATCATCCGATCACTGCTCGCCAAGACACTTGTTCTGCACGTTAAGCATCTGCTCATCTACTTCCTTTGTGGACATGCGGCCCCGGAACAGCGCAGCGGCCGTCAAGTAGCGCCCGTGACGAGGATCTGCCGCGCACATCATGTTCTTGGCATCAAACATCTGCTGAGTCAGCTCAGGCACCGTCAGAGCACGGTACTGCTGCGACCCTCGGGAGGTCAGCGGTGCGAAGCCGGTCATGAAGAAATGCAACCGCGGGAACGGCACCAAGTTCACGGCAATCTTGCGCAAGTCGCAGTTCAGCTGTCCGGGGAAGCGCAAGCAACAAGTCACCCCGGACATGGCTGCTGAGACCAAGTGGTTGAGGTCGCCATAAGTTGGCGTTGTCAGCTTCAGTGTGCGGAAGCAAATGTCGTACAAGGCCTTCCAGCATGAAATGGGCCACAAGAGCAAATGGGCAGCAAGTAAGTAAAACACCATGCAAACACAAACCAACATCCAAATCATCGACCGAACATAGTGTCCAACGACGAATGGGAACCGGGAAAGCGCCCATGGCAAAATGAAAAACAAAAAACGCCAACAACCACGGCAACAACAAAGACAACGACAACGGCAATACCGACAAACACCACCACCGCGAACAACAACCAACGCAACAAACGGCAAATAACCTAGCAACAAGGGGCAAATCACCAAACAGTGAACAAAAATCACAATCAGCAGAAACAGCAACATCACCACAACCAACACGAACCACGACAAACAAACAAACAAAGAAACAAACAAAAACAAACCAACAAGCAAGCAAGCAAGCAAGCAAGCAAGCAAGAAAGCAAGCAAGCAAGCAAGCAAGCAAGCAAGCAAGCAATCAACCAAGCAACCAAGCAACAACAGCAACAGCATCAACATCAACATCACCATCAACAACAACAACAACAACAACCAACAACCAACAACCAACAACCAACAACCAACAACCAACAACCAACACCCAACAACCAACAACCAACACCCAACAACCAACAACCAACAACCAACAACCAACAACCAACAACCAACAACCAACAACCAACAACCAACAACCAACAACCAACAACCAACAACCAACAACCAACAACCAACAACCAACAACCAACAACCAACGACCAACAACCAACAACCAACAACCAACAACCAACAACCAACAACCAAACACCAACAACCAACAACCAACAACCAACAACCAACAACCAACAACCAACAACCAACAACCAACAACCAACAACCAACAACCAACAACCAACCACCAACAACCAACCACCAACAACCAACAACCAACAACCAACAACCAACAACCAACAACCAACAACCAACAACCAACAACCAACAACCAACAACCAACAACCAACAACCAACAACCAACAACCAACAACCAACAACCAACAACCAACAACCAACAACAACAACAACAACAACAACAACAACAACAACAACAACAACAACAACAACAACAACAACAACAACCAACACCAACACCAACAACAACAACAACAACAACAACAACAACAACAACAACAACAACAACAACAACAACAACAACAACAACAACAACAACAACAACAACAACAACAACAACAACAACAAAACAACAACAACAAACCAACAACAACAACAACAACAACAACACCAACAACAACAACAACAACAACAACAACAAATCAACAACAACAACAACAACAACAACAACAACAACAACAACAACAACAACAACAACAACAACAACAAACAACCAACAACAGCAACACAACAACAACAACAACAACAACAACAACAACAACAACAACAACAACAACAACAACAACAACAACAACAACAACAACAACAACAACAACAACAACAACAACAACAACAACAACAACAACAACAACAACAACAACAACAACAACAAAACAACAACAACAACAACAAAACAACAACAACAACAAAACAAAAACAACAACAAAACAAAAACAACAACAAAACAAAAACAACAACAACATAAACAACAACAACAACAACAACAACAACAACAACAACAACAACAACAACAACAACAGCAGCAGCAGCAGCAGCAACAACAACAGCAGCAGCAGCAGCAGCAAACAAACAAACAAACAAGCAAGCGGCGAAAAACGAGAAACAAGCAAACATGCAACCGAGAAACAGACAAAGCACGCAAGCAAGCAAGCCAAGCAAACAAAGAAAGCAAGCAAGCAACGAAACAAACAGTTGAACAAACAAAGGGGCAAAGAAGCAAACAAACAATCGATAAAAAAACAACACATGCGAACACGCAAACATGCGAACAAGGAAACAAGAACTGCTCTTCTTTGTGGAGCCGAAAGGTACATATGGGTGTGTCTATTTGTAGGGGCCCAAACAAGAAATGTGGCTTTCCTTTTGGTGTCCTTTCAAAAGCTACAAAGCAGGTTATTCTTCAGAAAAGACAGGCTCATATCGTCAAAAGACTGCTGGTCATTCGAGAGCCTGCCTCGTTGTCCAGCAGGAAGGACTCATCCGAATTCTCCACGAGCTGATGGAAGCTGAGCACTGCATTGTACGGCTCCACGACGGTGTCGGACACTTTGGGCGAGGGAATCACAGAGAACGTCTCCATGATTCCTTGGCTACTCATCAACTTCCGATGCTACAGCTTTCACAAGTCAGGTAACAAATAGAAAAGTACTAAGAAAAGAAAGCGGCTGTCTGGATACTCCTCAGGGTTGGACGCAATGCGTGCCCACACATCTCACACTTAATCACAATATTTGGAATGACGGGAACATTATAAGAGGTAGTCTGCTATTCAGAAAAGGCGTACTCAAGAATCTCCTTCACGTTGAATCACCAATTAACACGGCATGCGAACCCGGCAAGCTTCCCGTCATCAACCGAGCCAGCATAAGTTCTCAATGGCTCAAACACTCTTGATTGGGTAGACCGCACCAACCATTGGCAACCACAGTCGGACTAAGAACGCTCCTCACGCACCTTGGAGATCAGCAGGGTGCCCATGCCCGCGCCCGTGCCTCCACCGAGGGAATGGCACAGCTGGAAGCCCTGCAGGCAGTCGCAGCCCTCGGCCTCCTTTCCTCGGCATCTCAGGGGTACGAGCTTCCCCCGACTGCCATCCCAAGGGAAAACTTGAGAAAATTCGGCATGGATCCTCTGTTCGAGAAGTACGCCAATTCCATGTCTCTCTGCGCGGAGCCCTGAAACTCTATGCTTCTCAAAAGAGAACAATCCAACCATTGTATTGAACGCCAACCAAAATCCAAGATAGTCCTTGACGCCTTCAAACAGCTCAACTGTTTCTCAGCTGCTGGGGAGACATCCGCCATTTCAGAAAGGGCAAAAGGCTGTTTCGAGGAAGCCAAAAGGCGACTATGGGAAGAAAGGACACACCACCCCTTTTTGTGGCGGTTGAAAGAAAAATCAGCCTCTCAAACACGAAATACCACTGGACATAAGAGGGCCGCCAAACAAACGCCGAGCAACGAACCACGTCGAGCACTGAGTCGATCAGCTCTGCCCCCTCCGTATAGTGGCCCTGGTGCGGGGGCGGGGGACCAATGGTAGTTGGGTGTGCCTAAAACAAGATTGGACCACAAACATGGCATTCCCAAACTACATTCCAGAAGGGGTTCGTGTGCATTTATTGGACTGGCTCAAGTATGCGGAAGCTGCATTTGGACCGCAAAAGTTTGGTTGCCTCGCTTCCAGCACAATCCCACCCATTGTCGTTCACGGATCACACTTATATGTTCATTAGTGAATCCGCAGTTGTAGGAGACACCATCGCATGTTGAGTTGTTTGTCGCTGGCAAACAGATACAAAAACCAAAATGGACTTGTCAAAGGTTGGCTCACGTTATCTTGGTTCCTTAAAAAGTGCAACCAAGAAGAGGACACTAACCAGTCTGCGGGCTGGCATACTTGCACACATTACCTCACCAAACAGAACACTCGCGTCAAACTGACAACCAGGAAGTTGCGCTTAAAGCAGCTCACTTGATTTTGGCAGCCAACAAATGATCCTGAAACTACCCATTGGCGGGGCGTCATGCGAGTAACTTGCGAAGCGAGTCGGTAGCCAACAAGCAGTCATTCAAATCTTGCTTGTACGTGTACCCTATGCATTCGAAGGGTTTACCCTTTTTGAATTCTTTCTTAGGGAGAGAGGATCAGAATGGCTGGAAAAGAATCCTACACGTTTAATGGGGTGGTGAAGTCCGCCAACGTGGAGCCATTATTCCTGGCAACTGCTTGCTAGTTTCCCATGAAACCATCCCAAAAGAGGCCGTCTCCAGCTTTAGTTGCACCAAGACCTTGGAGCCCAAACCTTTGGCAAATTCGCTAGGACGCTCGGGCCCTGCTGTGCTCGGTCAGGTAGCCCTTGCATAGCTTCATTTCATTGGACTTACATATCACGGTTTTAGCTTACATGACCACGATTCATCCTTCACAAGGAACACATGAGGCCCCCTGCTTCACGTACGTAGGGCCCTGCCTTCGCCCAGTTGTTGCCTGCCCCGGTCTGTCCAAAGACAAAGTTGTCCGGCCGGAAGAGCTGGCCAAAGGGTCCCGCACGGACGCTGTCCATGGTGCCCGGCTCCTTAGAAACTGGCGGTTTTGTTGCGGTTGTGGTTGTGGTGGCGGTTGTGGTCGTGGTTGCGGTTGCGGTTGTAGTTGTGGTTGTAATTGTTGTCATTTGTTGTTTGTTGTTGCTTGTCGTTGTTCGTTGTTTGTTGCGGTTGCGGTTGCAGTTGCGGTTGCGGTTGTGGTTGTGGTTGCGATTGCTGTTGTTGTTTGTTGTTGTGTGTTGTTGTTTGTCGTTGTTTGTTGCTGTTTGTTGCTGTTTGTTGTGGCTGTGGTTGTCTTTGTGGTGCGCTTGCTGCGTTTGTCGTTTGTTGTTTGTTGCTTGTTGGCTGTTGCTTGTTGCTTGTTGCTTTTTCCTCGGTGCTTGCTGTTTGGTGTTTCTTGATTGGTGTTTGTTGTTTGGTGCTTGTTGTTGTTGGTGGTGGTGTTGTTGGTGTTGGTGCCGTTTATTGTCTGTTGATTGTTGTGTGTTGTTTGTTGATTGTTGTTTGTGCGTAGTTGTTGTTTGTTGCTGTTTTCGGTTGTTGATGTCGCGGTTGTGGCTGTTGTTGCTTGTTGTTGTTGTTGTTGTTGCTGCTGCTGTTGTTGTTGTTGCTGTTGCTGTTGCTGTTGATGTTGTT